GAAAATTAAACTGAAACCAGCAACAGCATCAACAACAACAACAAACAACTGACATTTAAGTTTGTGGTGTCAGCAAATGTAACAAGTTGGAATGCCATGGTAGATTGCCTCGAAATAAAAATACCCATTAAAAGTGGTGTACTTATAAATATATTTGAAAATTTGAATACTTTTAATTGATAGGAATTAATATAATAGCAGTTGTCGCAGTTGTGGCATAATATTGTAGATATAGGGTTTGAAGACCTACAGCCTAGCTCTTTATTATCATGTTTATTGATAAATAATTGTTCCTTATCTTTTTTAATCTTAGAAAACTTTTATATGATCTGCAGACTACAACTACTCGAACACAACATAGCCTTTGACCTATAAGAGTACCTCCTGTACGAAGGTGAAGGTAATGTGTAATGAGTGGGAGAGGGCGATGGAAAGACGAAGGATTGGGTCAGGTCAGTAGAGCTGTGCAGGATGGGATGGTGCTGACCTCTTTCACTGCAGCAATTCAACGCACGGCCACATGATTAATACTTGATTAAGGTTGGGACTATATATACTACATATATATATATATGAATCGGTTTGTATATGTGTACGTGTGAGTGGGTGACAAAGTTGTGGGGAAACGCTTGAAGTTGTGCGGACATCGCCCAAGATGGAGTTTATCTGATGCTCTCTCTCTCTCTTTCTCGTTTCCTGCAAACTCAACTCTCTTCTCTTTCTAATTTCCTACCATCTGCGTGGGCTCCTTCTCTCGTTCGTCCCCTTGTGTGCACCAAACTTGAGGTAGCTCTTGAGGTAGCAACCGCAATAACAGCACCATCAGAAAATTGCACTTGCCGGAGTGCGTGTGTGTGTGACCAAGTGCCTCTGTGTGGGTTTTGTGCATTTTAATGCCCTTGTATGCGTGCATGTAATTTATGTTTTTCAACTTAATTAAAGTTAATTTTTAATGCTGCCTGCCACGACGGGCGACAGGTTTCTGGTCTCTCTGCGGCCATGGGGGCGTGACAAGTGCATCAAAGGCGTCCGCAAACATTTTAACACCACTCGCCCGTTTTCATGCTGGTGACATTAAACAGCTGCAACTGCAACAGCGCAGAGGCAACATCGAGACTGGGGCAGTATCAGTATCAGAAGCAGAGCGTGGATGCCACCCAGCAGAAGCAGACAGCAGCCGGAGTAGCAGTAGCAGAAACTTTTGTCATGCAATGAGGTCAACAATGGCCACAGAATACTATATGCTATAATTTTGTCCTTATCCGCCTTTTTTCTTGCTGCTCACTTTCAGCTGTTTAATAATAATGCCAATTAAATGCATGTTGCTGATTGCACCGCAAGGATGAAAAAAACGGAAAAAGCACTCGAAACACGCACAAGTTAATTATAAATTACAAATGGCAGAACAACAGCGAATAAATATCATCAGCAGCCACGTGCCATCCCAGTAAATAATAAGTAAAGAACACAAAAACTAAATAGAAAAGACCTAAGGATACCCCTTAATGTGTTGTGTTCTGGGATTGACTCAGCCGGAATAGGCATCGGAGCCATGGTCAGAGGCGAAGCATAGCCAAAAAGAATATTCAAGTACCTGTACATCGAAAAGAAATTTGTTCCCGATGCAATACCTTGGTACTCGTATTTTAAAGCCTTTGGTTAAACATAGTTGAAAGATTTTCCATGGTAAAGCTGTGCCGGAGACGCTTAGGCATGGCTTGATGCAGGATTCACATCCACAAAAATAGTTTATTAAATTTGTTGTACTTTTGTGACATCTCCTTCAACAACTCTGAAACGTTTTGTTATTCTAGGTTTCAGTCAAACACGTGTGTTTATATTTCTATTTTCACATCCAATTCAATCTCAGTTGTTGTTTATTTTTGAAAGCAAAAGGAAACAAATCCATATGGTAGGTATAGATGTAGTTAAACATCATCCGTGTAGGGGGAAATGCTGTCAAAGCTCAATGGGCAGTGGCTATGCATGATTTGTTCGCAGTTCTCCTCGCGCAGATGCGGCATATGACGCTTTTCGTGTTCGTCCAGGCTGAAATGGTATTAGAGTTGTGTAGAAGATAGCTATAGTCGTTGGCAAATCAGAGTCTGAAACTTACGTAAAGACATATTTTAAAAGCTTAAAGAGAAATCCCTGACCATGATCCCCGGCCAGAGCCGTGCAATAGGCCTTCAGTACACACGCCCGCCCATCGAAGCCACTCCGATCGATTAGCTCGTGGAGCAGCTCATAGGTGTCTCTTCTAAAGGGTCGATTCTCACGCTTAACCAGCACTGGGGTATTGGCCCTAAAGCCGTAGCCATGCGCCCAGACAATGGGCGAGGCGATCACATTGTTCTTGGCATTCACGCGGAACTTGATGGAAAAATGGGAAAAGCGTTTCGGTATAAGCAACGAGCGATTGCCCAGATTAAATATTTGAGTTACCCACAAATATGCGAGTGGTTTCTATTATATCCAGGTATCTTTTTGCCCTGCTGCGGGGCATGGTAGAATTATGTTCTAGTCCCGCGGCTATGGAGAGCAAGGTGAGAAGGAGGTACAACCGAAGCGTGCACATTGTAACCGATGCAAGAACTCAACTAACGGGGAAACGGAGCCCCCAAGAGCCCCTCGTTGATGTCATAAAAATGGAAACTGACTGTGTCTCGGGAAGTAGTTATCACTAAGGTGTTAATTAAAAAGAGATGGACGAACTCACTCTCTGGCACTCACCTGAATACCAATTTGAGAAGCTTGAAGAGCATGCCGCTCTTCTGCTCCGACTTGTCCACATCGAGAACGGCCGTGCAAAAGGACTTCAGCATACAGGCCCGACCATCGAATCCATGGCTGAGAGGGAGTGGGAACTCAATTACAGTGGAGTCAACTAGCCAACTAACACAGAACTTACCCATCCAGAGCAGTCTCCAGTTTCGAGAATAAATCCCGCTTAAAGAGGCGAAAGAAGACGGCATTATCCTTTTTCTGCTCCTCGATTGACGGGAAGGGATAATTGGTGCGGAAGCCATAGCCATAGGCGTACAACGTATTGATTGTCAGCAGAGTGTTCTTCCCATTGGTGCGCCACTGCAAAGAACACAGAGAACTCGTATGATTAGGGGGCCAATTAAAATGGGATTCCTTTTCAGACAGTGGATAAAACGCACCGACATACGGGATCCCTTGCTGAACTGAAGATATCGCTTGCCACGTCGCAGTATCCTCGTCCCATTGTTGGCCAGCAGCAGGCTAGGGCTGGAGTCGGGGCTCGAGTTGTCATAATGCATGTCAAAGCTGTTCTCGTTGTGCTCCCTGTACCTGGACCCGGTCATGGAGGCTTCAGCAAGCCCATCAAAATTGTCAACCTTGTGACTGACAGCCGAGCAGGTTGAAAACTGTTGAACCATCAGCAGGAGGAGTGGCACTGCGAGCTGCAGCATCAGCATTGTTGCTGCGGAAGTCCATGCTGACAGATGCGTCATCGAGATGAACTTGATTGGGCTGTGTGTAGCACTAATTAATACTATTGATCCCTGGCAGAATTTCTCTAAAATATCTTCAATTTGGCTTTAGTAATTGCTGTTCACATTTCAACTCTGAGCTCTGATTCGTTCTGCTTTCGAGTCCCGCTTCTGACCAGTTCCCTCAGGCTACTGATATCAGCTCGGACATATTCAATCTGCCCGACAAAAATACAAAAACCAGTATAAGAACCAGGCACATGGGGAGAAGGTGGAGGTGACCATTGAAACAAACAAACAAACGAGGAAAGAACGTGAAGTATTCTATGTGTTTATTGGTGGCGTTGCTTATTTATTTATTGCTCCGTGTGGTCTGGTGACATCTCGTGTCTTCTCCATTTATGTCTCCAGACTTCACACCACTTCTGTTTTGCTCTGATTTGGAATTCTAGTTCTGGACATGACATTTACTTGTTAACACTTTTTCTCCATTTTTTCTAGAATTGCTGCTGCTCGTGCTGACGCTTGTTGACGTCCACAATTTTCCCGTTTACCAACCTAAACGGGGCTAAAGCAGCGCTAAGGGGGTGCGGTTGATGGAAAAATGTGTGAACTCTTTGTAGCACTCGAAAGGCTGAGAAGAGTCGACAAAAACTACAAGGATGTACATATCTTTTTGGTTGTGCTTTATTTTAAGTGGTCAATAAATTATTCAATTCAATGTAATATTATTTGATTGATATGCATCTTTCATTTATAAATAAAACCATATTGTATAATGGCGGTAAAACGGTTTATATTTATTTTGTATATAATTCAAGTAATATAATAATAATTTGCTTATGAGTTTCGAGACAGCATTAGACACACAAAATTACAATAGATTTATCTCAAAAACATTCTCATATTTTCATTGACCAAATTCCTCTTGTACTCGTATTTCCAGAATCTCTAAACTCATTTTTCATAGAGCAGCAGCAGCATCATCATTAAAATGCAATCTTTCAAAGTCGGATTTCGTCTATTGGACGATTAATGCGTACCCATATTTCTAAAAGCCACAAAATGCAGCAGTCCTGGAGCAATAGTCGTTAAAATGTTCCCACACCGCCTCGAGCTCACAAATGCTGAGAAATCTTCCAAGTCTGTTGATTGAATAAAACTTTTGGCAGCTCGGTAGGGAAAAAGCCAACAAAGTTTGCCAAACGTATTTTTATTTCTTTTCAATTAAAGTCCGTCAGGAAGCCGGAATGATGATAATGATGAGGAGCAGGAGGTGCCAACAGGACTGACACACACATCAGTCTCACAGACAACATCAATTCCTTTCCCGGGGCGCCGGTAGAGCCAGCAGCTGTGACAAAGGAGATGGAGGATGGCAGGTGAGGCCAAGTTGCAGCTGAGGAAAAGATATATGAAGTGCCATTTTTTAACAGGGCTCAACAAGTGCTCGCCAGTCCCCTCACTCCCAGACAGAGGCTAACCGGAGTGGACACTTAAGAATAATTTGATGGGGAACATTTTTAAGTATCGCACAATTTATTGGGCATAATAATTTTTCGGTGGCGTCGTGTATTTGCCAAAGGCCAATTCTAGCAGAGAAAAGTGACAGTCGTACTGGGCGGCGCAGTCATCGAGGTGGGCCTGGCGATAGGCCTTATCATAGTGAACGATATCCGAGTTCTCGTGCAGTTCCCGTGTGAAAATTCGCTGCTTCGGCAGGCTATAAAACAAATTATATTACACAGAGTCTTGAGGTGTATCAGCTTAGATTACCTGAATATCGTGCGTAGCATCTCACCGACCATGTTCATCTTTGTTCGCTGAAAGTACTGACGACTCTCGCAGAGGGTACGCAAGACGCAATCACGGCCATTGTAACCCATGCTACAATATGGGAAAACGAAACATATGAATTATTTATATTATAAAGAGGAAACAAGAAAGAAAGTATAATTATAAATGAACCACAACGAAAGGTAAAACAAAGACAGGGTATATATGCAGGCTTCCCGTACTTATCCACAATTGTCTCGATCTTCTGATAGATCATACTCCGGGAGCGTCGTCGAAGCACAGCCGGTGCCACGGGATGCGTTGAGAAGCCGTGCAAATGCTGCAACACCCAAGTGGTGTTGGGCAAATCATAGGCCACGCCCCAGTTGATGCCGAAACTGTTGTATGCATAGTAGGGATTGCCGATGATGCCCACCGTGAAGCAGACAGCAACCTGACCAGGGACAAAGTAACAAACTGTTGTCGGTGGGTGCATGTATATATGGATATAGGTACATATGTATGTATGGATGGATATGGATGGGAATGACACATACGGAAAACGAGGAGCCCTCGGGAAAGCTGAGATAACGCTTCGGACGACTGAGGGCTCGTCGCCAGCGTTGGTGGTGCAACAGCTGAGAGGATGGAGTCGGGTTGTCTGCCATGGCGGTTGCACGTTCCATCATAGTCATCAATGTTGGCGGCGGCCATAAATCATGGGTGACATTGCCAGGAGCCAGCAAGGGACCCAGACTCAGACCCAGAGCAGAAGTCGAGGGCGTTGCATTTGTCGGTGCAATTAAATCGTAAATCAAAAACTTTGCAACAATTAAACGATAATTAAACAATGCGGAGTGCGCGTAAATCATGACAAAGCTACGTAGCACGTGCCGTTTGCCTTGCAGCTCGAAAAGCGACTGAAAACTGCACTCAAGCCGAGACGATGGATGGGCCCGAGACAGACCTGACAGGGAGAAGCGGCGCTCTGGCTCTGGCTCTGGCTCTGGCAGTGGAAGTAAAATTGGCAAAGTGCAAATGTGTCAATTGTCAGTTAACGTTTAGAATGCTCTTGCAGACACTTGCAGCAGTCACGTTTACAATAAACACAGCCACACAGCCATACAGCGGGTGTGAAGGCGAAGGCCCTGTTGTTTGGGCAGGAAGGAAAGCCCCAGGCCCGAGCCCAGGCATGTGCTGCACCTTAATTGAATTGCCTGCACCTGAACCTGTCGATGCCATGCAAAAGGTCGAACTGCCTGTGCCACGGCGATGACAAAGATCGATGGCCGTGGCAGGGAATTGAGTTGGCTCCTACTTTGCCGTTCATATTTGCTAACTGAACTGCCAACAGTCTTTATGAGATTGCCATGGCCTCATAATAAACCGATTCTCTTATGCACTAAGGCACTCGCAAATGCATACGAGTAAGTGAAGGCACGACAGGCACCACGAAAGTATATTACTCATAAAAGTGATCACAGATCTTCGGGGAAGAACGTGTACTAAGTTTAATGACTATGTTTTTATAGAATTAGCAATGAAAAAATGCAGTATGAGCTATATTTTTACGATACGAGTATCAGTTATGTTTCATGGAATTCTTTCGCAAACTTGCTTCTTATATGGTATATTCATTTCTCAGTGTAGTATATGTTTATATGTGTAACAGCATAAGTATGCTGTTTAATTTCCTAAGGAGATTCCATTCATAGCCTGGCAAAAACTTTTCACCCTTCCCCAGCGAGTTGTGGCATTGCGGCTGTGCGACTGTGCGACTGTGCGACTGTCAACTTCAATGTTGCGGTCGGGGTGAACAAACAAACAAACAACTTCATTAACCCCATAGGGCATACATCCAATACACATATCCTACACACTCCCACTCATGTGTACGGGTATGGCGTGTATATACACATCGGATAGAGGCAATTGAGGCCAGGCCCCGCTTAGCTGACCCATTAGAGGGAAAAGCGCTCGTCAGGGCAGAGGGAAAGAGCGAAAAGTCAGTGGGGAAAATGGCATGGCATCAGGCATCAGGCATCAATTGTGGGACGACGCTAAGCAAAACAGACAATCGAAAAGCGAAACCAATCGAGGGAAAACAATCATGAAACACAAGACGGAACAGAAGACACCGAAAATCCTCGACACGTGAATCAAGGCGATGGGAGCCGTGTTAAGGTCAAAACCAAAGCCGGATGAGAATGCGGATGAGAATATGGATGAGGATGCGTACACATATGAAGATGGGAACGAAGGACAAAGTTGGGGCAGAGGCAAGGCAGGGCAAGACAAGTCAAAGGCAAAGGCAAAGGCAAATATGGTAACTTTTTGACGACCACTTGAAGCTTAGCAGGGCTCTGAAATTGACGCTTAAATTCGAACAAGGCTCAAGTCCTTTGATTACCATGACAATGCCTGTCACTGTCACTGTATCTGTGAGAGCGGATATGCGGTTGTGCGGGTGAAATGGGTGTGTGGTTGAGTTTGCCGTGTCGCTTGTTGATAAGACATTTTACAGATTGCAGATAGTTTAACATGGCCCGCAACATAGCTCTCCTCTCCCCAATTATGGCCTAATTTGTTATGCATTTTTCGAGCATTGGCCTCAAAGTTAAAGTTGCCGAACCGCAGGAAGACAGACTCTGACTCTGATAGTCCTCGCCCCTACGGATATTAAACTATTTCCGAAGCATACAAAAAGCCAATTTAAATGCTAATATAAAATACCAACATTTTATTATTATGCCAAGAGCACGCACCCCCTCTCCCTCTCCGGCACAGGGTGGAGCAGGACAGCAGACGGGTAGGGACAACGACCACTTCGGGTGCGAAGTTTTCTTGGTCGCACTGTGCGTGATAAGCCAAGTGGCTTGGCTGATTTTGGCACAGACACTCCCCCAAAGAGGCAGTCGGTGAGTGGAACATAAGGGGGGCTGGGGGTCTGCCACTTGAAGCATGTAAAGTATCCACATATGGGTGGGGGTACGGGTACATGCCCATACATCTATGTATATGTATGTACGATTGCCCGTATATATGTACATTTGGTTTCGGAAATATAAGACAGTTGGATGTAGTAAAATAACTTTACTTAATGCTTTATATTTCTAGGTCTATAAAATCGAATGATTCATTCCATATACTGGCAAAGCTGTAGTTAACAAATGATTATATTTTTTTAATTAAATAAGTATTTGATCAATGATTGAATAATGAGGTATATACTTGGGTGTATAGGAATAGCATATATCCAAACAATATTATATAAAGAAAAAACTGAAGGCTTGATGACTAATTTATTCACTTGTATCTCGGCTAGAGATTACTTATACCAAAGACAGTATAAATAGTAGTAAAACGCCCAAACATGTCTATGGTGCCCGATTTTTTTGACTGTCTCTTGAGCTTAAAATTGTATACAAAAGCCAGAAGAGAGCTCTTAAAAGCCAGTCCAAACATTCAAATACGAAATCTGAGAACAAAATTTTCTGACAATTTTCACACACAAGAACTTGAGATAATTTCCCTCAAATCTCATGAATGACCAGAGCTAGAGCTGATGACCCACACTCACCTGTCTATCATTGTCTCCAGTCGACTGTAGAGCTCACGTCGGTGTCTGCGTTTGATTTGTGCTTTGGCCGATTTCTTTGTGGTCCAGCCATGGGCATTCTGCAGGACCCATGTGACATTGGGCAGGTCGTAGGCAACGCCCCAATTGATGCCCAGACTGAGATATAGCAAGTTGGGGTTGCCGATAACACCGGTGGTGAGACAGACAGCGGCCTAAATGTTGTCGGAAATACATATTTGATTTAATGTCGGACTCCAAAGCTTCAGCCAGGGGACTCACCGATGCTGATGAACCCACGGGAAAGGCCACAAAGCGTTTGCCTCTCGAGAGTTTGCGCTGTGACGATAAAGCAGCATGTGGTGTCAGTGGGTCCTGTCCCAGCTCCAGCTCTAGCTCTTGTTCCAGTTCCCGTCCTTGGGTGATGAGTCCTGGCGGAGTCAGCGTGACATTGTTGACTTTGCCGGCTTCGTGACTTGTTGTCGATAGCAGCGGCGGGGCAAAAACATGCAGAACATCGTTCTTGGACTGACTTTGGCATTGGCCCAAGAAAAATGCTGTGAGCAGTAGCTTCGGCCAAGTTGTAGACATTTTTCCAACTGATTTGAAGTTTTTGGCCATCGATTTCGACGGCCATCCGCCGATTTTTGTTCCTATTTCTTTGTTTTATCGTTCTATCAAAATGCCAAGTTGTTAATTTAATTATAACTTGGCCAGCTGACCCCATTCCGCGTCGCGGGCCCAACTAATGTCTTAGCCAAACAGTGGCTGGCATTGCGGTCAAGCCATGATTCCGTAACAAATTGAACAGCCACGCGAACCGGCCACTGTTCCATTCTGGAGTTTAGCGTCGATCCGGTGGATGTCCGTTTCTTTAGTTCTTCGGTAGGCATCGCTGTGTTCGCTATGGAAAATCGAAACTGGTTGAGATTGGTCCTCGCCAGCTTTCTGCTGGCTCTGGTCTGCGCGGAGTCTCAGCCCAGCTCCAATGCTACGTCCAGCAATGGCTTCACCTACATGCAGGAGAAGACCCATTTCTTGCACCGCCAGAAACGTTGGCTCACCTTTGAGCTGGGCTCGTCTTTAACGGTAAGATAAATATGTTTTAGCTTTTAAAATAATAAATTAATTATTTATATGCGTATCTTTGGCTTAAAGATTACAGCCAATTGTGCCAAGGCCATTCTAGAGACAATACCCAAAGGACTGCTTTGGTTGGCAGAGGCTACGAGTATCTACGAGCTACCTGCGGCAATTGAGGATTGGATACCGCGTCGGGTGGGGAAACCAAAAGTAAAACCAGCACCACCACTACCGCCGCCACCTCCTCCTCCTCCACCCCCGCCTCCACCTCCACCACCACCCTCAACAGAATTTGCTTTGCAACCGCAAACTGTTGTGGTGCCCCTTAGTCCGTCGGATCCCATACAGTCGTTCTACTTTGCCTATCCGCAAGGGATTCCCACAGAGAACCGGCGCAAGTCCTTTACCCATCAAGTGCAGGCCGGCTGCCCGGCTTCGCATCTGGTCAAGGATGTGTATGGCACCTTCTACTGCCGGCCATCGGCCATGTCCAGACGCTTGCGACGCGAACTCCAGAGAAATGGCGCCCATGTGGTGAACGAGAGTCAGAGTCCGCATGGAATGCTCTTCGACATGGTCACTCTGTTGTCCACCATGTAAGCGGGCTATATCGAACCTCTCCACTCTCCCCCTAACTGAATTTTTTTCCTCCTTTTGGCAGGTATAATTACCAGCCAAATTACTGCATCATGCGGACGCTGTGCGAGGCCCGTCTTCTGCTGGCTCCCCCGGGCCTGACGCTCTTCCACGATATATTCCGCATAATGCTGCGCTACGTACATCCGGAGATTGCCCATAAACCGAAATACAGGGAGGCCTTCACCGCCGGACACTCGCTTCACGAATGCGCCAGTCTGTATGGACCACACTGTCGTCAAAGTTTTTTGCTGCTCTTAACGGAACCATTTCGCGAGAAAAATGACCGTTGATTAAATAAAAATCGGAATAAGGCAAACCAAAAATATAAATGAATTTATTGGATGCGGATGGAGCGCATAGCTCTCCGGGCAACAGGACTCCAGTTCATGGGTTATAAGAAATTGTAATTGTATTAAAATCGATATTCTCTCACATAGAAGCAAAATAAATTTGGCAAAGGAAATACAAAAATGTATGACAGAAAAAATTATATTTTATTGCGTGTCAGGCCAAAAAGTGGAATCGAAATTAAGTAAATACCCAGAAGTGACATTTTTATTGACACTATTTTCGACCAATTTTTGTGCCCTACCATGCAGAATGGATTTGATATGTGTTCTATGGAAAATAAAATATATTTTATACGACAAATATGGTTAAAGAATTCTTTTTTTTCAGTTTTAAGATTCTTGAAGAATTCTTTATTACAAATGCTACCAACTCGTAGATTAAAATCAGCAGGGGCTTCCACAACTGATTGGTCGAACTGGAAGTGCAGTTCCCTTCATGCGCATTGCTCTCTGGATTCCCGTGCTTTATATTTCATAATTTGTATTATTTGCTTTTGACTTTACAACGCTGACAATTGGACTGGAAATGGAAACAAAACAAGAGAATTTCCCGATGTTGACATATGTAAAATTTACATGCTACTGCAATCAGTGCATGCCGTATTGACAGCAGGAGAACAGTTGCGCCGTCCCCGCTCCCAGAGGGTAAGCGGAAAGGCAGTGTGAATGGAAAAACCTGTTAAGACCAGTCCCCTGTGTGAGAGAGAGTTGGCAGACACCCGCTAATCAGGGCCATCAACATGGTACTTGAGCTAATAAGCCGATAACGGGGAGCACACTGCCCCACGAAACCAATTTGAATCGGTCAATGAGTTTAGTTTCAAACAGAACGCGGTGCCGACAAAATGAGGCGCCTCTCAACGACTTACCACTTCAATCTGCTTGTATTATATCTCCTGGCACTGGGGCAGGTGCGAGTGCGAGTACAGGCGGAGGCTCAAACAAAGAATCTGGATCAATCACTGGCTCTGACAGGTGCAAATGCCACGCAGGTGGAGGCCAAAGTTCTGCGCCGACACAAACGCTATCTGGCATTTCCGGATGGTTCATCGGTTTCGGTGTGAGTGTGTGCGGGTGTCAAGGACCTCCGACAGCTTACTAATCTTTTTTGTGTTTGCAGGCGGCCATTTGCATGACGATCGGCATGATTGGCAACCCCGACGTGGACTTTCTCAGCTGGGCGGTCAACTGGGGCGTCGCCTACGATCTACCCAATCGTGAGTGGGTGGTCCAGCATGCCCATGGCCTGAACGCAACCCTGGCGAAGGACGTTATCAAGCGCCGCTCGCGACGCGCCTTCTACGATGAAGTACAGTCCATCTTCAATAAGTGAGTATGCTGTATAATTCATGGATCTCATTTGGTAATACTCTTCATTCAGCATGGGCTTTAATGGGCACTCCTGTGTGGCCAGAGCTCTCTGCGAGAGTGCCAGATTCATGTTGCCCCAGGAACAGCGGGGCAACATGCTCCAGGAGCTGGTCCGCACTGTCTTTAGCCTGCCCTCGACGCCAGTGGAAGCCCAAGAGCCCCAGGCCCATCACCAGTATGATCGCATCTACCGCCGTTCCAAACGATCTTCGAAGGAGTGCCACGAAATCTATCCGGGGTGCCAATTTTCCCTTCTGGCTCTGGCTTTGGGCAAGTACATGGCCGCCACTACAACCAAGTTGAGTGCCTTTAATTTTATGTGAATTTGTTGTAAGCAAAGATACGCTATTCGACTGAGAAAATAAAACATAGCTTTTGACTGAAACATCAATGGATCGAATACTACCAGAAGTGATTCAGGGATATGATTTCGATTCATTTCACCCTGTGGTTTGTCCCTTATTATTCGAATTAAGCTCCGATTTCTACCATTTAGCTGGAGTGTCCTTATATCAAATAAATCTATAGTTTATGGTTACTTCTCTGCGTCACTAAGCAAAATTATGGAATCAGATTATACCTCTCACAAGATATCGTGAAATATAGCCCAAGAGTTTGACTGACAAGTTTCTAATACTTTCACCAACAGTTCGCTTTTCCCTTCCCATTTTTGCCCGTCTCCATATTGAAAAGGCTGTTGAGATTTTTTTTAAAACAAATTATTTCATTCTTCTTTATTTAATAACGCGTAACATTTATTTATATATTAATTGTTTTCTTTTTTATGTTTTGTTGTCGTTTTTTAAATTGTTTTCAATTTTAGTGTTATTCATTCGCAATTGTTGCTATTATTTCCATTTGTTCTTGCATTTAGCATAGGTTTTGTTTTGTTTTATTTAGTGTCTTATATTTAAGTTTTGAATGCGTTCGTTCTTTTCATTTCCCTTTTTTAAATTGTTTGTGTTAACATATTTTATTCTAGCATTTTTTGTTAATAATTTTTTGTTGGATTTTTTTTGTTTGCTTGTTAATTTTGATCAAGTTTTTCTTTTAGTATTTGAATTCTCAATGTCTGCGCGTGTGTGTAATTGTTGTAGTTGGGTTTTTGTTTGTATGTAATATGTATGTTGTTGGTTTTTGTTGTTCAAGAGAGTTTCGAATATATATTTAATATATATATATAGTATGTATATACTCGTATTCATATTTATGCATGTATTGTTAGGTATTCCTTTGTTTATGTGAAATGTAAATGCAACGTTTTTTTCTTTTTAGATTTAATTTAATTTAATTTGTTTGACACATTTATTTGAAATACTGATGCGCAAATGTTTCTTTAACCATTCGGGTCCAGTTTGCTGTTGCTGTTGCTTTTGCTGTTCTTGCAAGGGTTTGCAGTGTTTCGAAGTTAGCTTAATCTAATTTAGTTCTAACATTGGTTTAGTTTTAGTTTTAGCATTAGTTTAGTTGCAAGTATTTTACACACATCTCGTCGTCATTTCATTCGCACCTTAGCCTACTTACGTTATGAGTTTCCTTGAACTAAATTTTCAATTTAGCTAAGACTGATTCTGGTGTAGAGTTTTAGTGAGCGCTCGGCACGCCTAACTAAAAGTCGATTCCACATATCTACTCGTATATATCTAGATTTTATTTACCGGCTTCATTTACTGCGTATATGTATGCATATTTATTATTCATATATTTTTGTTTTTTGTTTTGTTTTGTTTTGGTTTTGTTTTTTTTTGTTATTCCTTTTTGTCTGAGCAAATATTAGTTAGTTACATATGCCTCCTGACCTGCCTTTCGGCATTTAAGTCGTATCTTTTATCTTTTACATTTAATTGTTGTGGTGTTGTTTTCCCCAGTGAGTTGCAAGATTTTGTAAGATTTACCATTTTGTTTGCTTTTTATAAGTTAAAAATCTTGATGCTAAAATTGTTTTTTTTTTTTGGTTTTTTTTTACGTTTCTTTTGCACTTGAACGAATCGAAAGAAAAATGTACAATACACAAAAAGTTGCAACGGAAGCGCTTACATCTAGCGGCACCTAACAGTTAATACAAAAAATATACATACCCGTGTATATGTATAGTATCTATGTCTATATAAATACCCGTATATATACTATATACTCGTACGTACGCGTATATGTATATAGTTGTTGTTTATCGTTAATATACTCGAGTGGCTTACAGTTTATGAATTTATACATTTGATTTCCGTTTCCTGCCTGCTCGATCGCACACACACGCGCATGCAATGCCATTCACACAGATGCATAAATACGAACATTAGCTACTTGAGTACTTTGATTGTTGGGTGTTGGCTCTATGTGTGTGTGTCTGTGCGGTGTGTGTGGTTGAGTGGATGTGTATCTGTGTTTGGTGTGTCTGGTGCTGCTTGCAAAACTGTGAAGTTTTTGAAAATTCATCTAAACACTCTACTGCTGGAATTGGATGCTGGGAATGAGAGGTCCTCAAATAGGGTTTACGTATTCCTATGTCTGTTTTTTGTTCAGAAATATTTTACAAAAGTCGTGTGTCACTGCTCGATCATACAGGAAAAACATTTCAAATTCGTTTAATTGCATTTGCTGTCATTAATCGTGCTGACGGTAGGGGCATGAGGTGCCTATTGCTGCTCGGACTTGAGTGTTAGTACTTGTATCTGTGTGAGTGTCGAAATTTGTTTTAGTTTTTGTTTTTTTTTTGCTGTTGTTGAAACCGTTTTTAATATAATTAATTTATATGTATGCTTTTGTTGTTTCTTTACGCAAATTGGCTAGTCAAATCGGATGAAAGATTTGTCATTTGTATGTACAAGACGAGCTTCGGTTTTGGCCTGGTTCTAGGGAGGAGAAGTGGATGAAGGTGATGGAGAATTCTAGAAAAGGTGTAATTCATCTATTGTCAGGTACTTGATTAGTTGCTGGGTAACTGAAGGGTGTGTCATAGGGCGAGAGAAGGTGAAAGTCACAGTGGCCTAAAGTGTTATATGCTTCGACCCCTATAGGCTGCTGACCCCTAAAGGTATGCAAATGTTGTGGGCATACATGAATTTGCAGTGCAGTGGCATGTGAGTGTTGCTGTATCTGTGTAAGCGTGTTAATGTGTGGGTGGATGGTACAGTTGTGTTTGTGTGTTCATTTTCTTCTTTTTGATCCGCATTTCTGCATTATCCTACCAGCTCCACAGCGGCTTCCAATTTTTCTGAGTTGTTCTGACTGTTGTTGGTTTTTCTTTAGCAATACGCAGACTTTGATTCTTGTTGTGTTTGCTACAAAAGACGACCTTTGATTGGAAGACATACGATTTTATGTTTTTTGAATCTCAGGGTCAAGCCGCATATATATCAAATACGTCAATTTCTTGATTACACCATAAGTTTTTTTTTGTTTCTCATTCGCTTGGTTTAATATATTTCGTTTAATAACTATTTCTCGTTTAACTAATTATGATTACTGTTAGTGCTAAGTGTGTGGTGGCCTTAAAAATTGTTTTTGGCTAAAATGAAACACGTTTGTGGTTCGAGCGAATGCCCTTGGCGAAGTCAGTGGCAAGTGCATGCTATACGCGTTGAAGGCATCTCTTCAGAAAGGGCATTACATCCTCCTTCAACTACTGCTAGTTTCCAACGACTATTTTTCGCCAAGGGCTTCCCTGTGCTTTATCTAATGCTTTATCCTCTATCAATTTTGTGTGTACACAATTTCGTTGTTTGCTTTAACTGTAATCGGGGAAATGAATTGTACTGCAAATAAATTCTAGTTGCTTGCTGAATGATCGATCGAAGATCACCGATGAATCACCGATGGATCTTACGAGTACGAGTACGACTATGTATACAAGAATGAAATGCTTCAACCATGGATGTTTTGCATCTGTGTTTTCATTTGCTGTGTGTGTATTGTTGGTGTAGGTGTTGGATAGTTTTTTACTATATACAGAGATTTGTTTTTGCTTGCGGTTTTCCTATTTAGTTAGTACTTAGCCACAATGTTAACTTCGAGCACCCTTCTGCAGGTTCCTAGCTTACTGAGTAGTTGATTTGCTGCGCCTAAGTATATCTTTATACTAGATGTATGTACTACTCCACATCGGATCTGCCGAGTGCTTGGATGTGGACACGCTTCAAAAATGTTTTTCACTTAACTAGTTCGTATATCATTTATTACTCATAAATGTATCATGTACAGATACAGATAGAGATACAATAATTGTATATATATTTTATATGTACTTTTTGCATTTCATTTCGTCTTGTTTGTGGCAGTATTTAAATTACACGGTTTCTTCTCATTTATACCTATTTTTTTTTGTTTGTTTAAATTTTTGAAATTTTTTTGTTGTATATCAAGCAGACTAAATATTTAGCTAGAAACCTAAAAGAGTGTGAAAAGCAAAAACACGTTTAAAAAGGCAAATTCAAAATGTTTGACATTATTAGCATAATTTACACTTAAGCGGGATTACTCCCTCGGTTTTTCGATAGGCTAAACTTAATTTATAATTAATTTATTAATTAATATTTCAATGAATTAATGTGGAAATGAACTGTACAACTACGAGTCGGACCCGAGCCGAGCGGTCGATGGTCCGACTCAACGATTGACTGAATGATTGATTGAATTAACGATTGTTTGTCTGTCTGCTTGTCCGTGCGGTGAGTGTGTTTGTGTTGTGTCTCTCCGCCTCTCCTCCACACACACACACGCGGCACACACGCACACACACTGGGCCAAACCTATTTGTTTATAACCTAAAAACACAACCAATGAGAGCATATACACGTCTATGTATTTGACTTTAATTCGATTTTGTCCTTCGTGTGTGTCCCTTCTCCTACGTCTTAGCGTGTGTTGTTGTGTTTTGTTTTTCATTATTCAGTAAAATGTGTTTTAATTTATCTCTCTATATATTTTGGTTTTTGCTTTAGCGTGTCGATTTTCCCAAGTGAAATAATTTACAAAAATGGTTTTCTGTTTTGTTTGAAATGAATTTTGCCTTTGTTCTTCTCCTTCTCCTTTGCCATGCACATTTTCAGTTTAAATATGCATTACTCCTTTTGGGTTTCATTAGTTAAATTTATTCACAGAAAAGTTACGCCATTTACTTGTCATTAGTTCTTTGTTATATTCTTTTTTTGCTTTATTGTTTAAATACTTTAATAGTTGATTGTCTAAAACTATAACAAACAAATTTGTTAAGCTTGAAATTGGTTTCGAATTAAAAAAAATGCTTTAGCCTAAACACAGAGAAAAAAATAACACCAAAACTGTAGGAATTATCCAAATTTAAATAAATACAATGTGGTAGAAAAGCGAATTCCACTACAGAAATATTTTGTTTTAAATATTTACAAG